AAACAAAATGACGTCCAAAACAAAACTAGCAGGTTGCTCTAGCTCTTACTTGGTCGCCAAATTTTCGCCCAAAAATCGCCGAGTTACCATAATGTAAAGATTCACCATAATTTTTTTTAATTAACTCGAATCTAAGGAGTAGGTTGTGCATGATGCCGAGTTTGTGCAATTCTCTGATTAAAATTCTCATGTGCTGTCTACATGTGCAATACCGATGCTATGCGCAAAGCCGATTTTTTGCAATTCGTTGATTTTTTTATGTGAATATACAAGGGCTGATCAGATGAAAAGGTACGAAATGACACGGTGGGTACAAATGTAGACTTTATTCGAAATATACACCATAGGCCTGAGCACAACGATCCGACTGATGGACAAGCCGCAGGATTCCTTGTTCCCAGAATTCCTGTGGCCGTGACGAGACCCAATCCTTCACAGCGTCCTTGAGTATGTCGTCCGAGTTGAAGCGCTTCCCTTTTAGGTTTTTCTTCAGTGGATCAAACACATGGAAATCCCAGGGCGACATGTCCGGACTGTAGGGCGGATGGTCCAAAGTCTCCCACTTGAACTTGGCCAGTTCCACGTGTGTGACTCTGGAGACGTGTGGACGCGCGTTATCATGGAGCAGAACCACACCCTCCGTGAGCAGCCCTCGTCTTTTGTTCTTGATGGACCTGCGTAGGCGTCGAAATGTCTCACAGTACACATCGGAGTTAATGGTTTTTCTGTGCTCCAGGAATTTCACAAGTAGCGGACCTTGAACGTCGAAAAAGACGGTGACATCTTACCTGCTGACGGCACGGCTTTGAACTTTTTAAGGGGAGGTGACAACGCATGCCTCCACTGCATGCTGTCTCGCTTTGTCTCTGTCTCGTAGTGATGGCACCAGGTTTCATCACCTGTGACGATCCGCTCCATGAAAGCGGGGTCTTCCTGATTACCGAAACAAATATTGCAGTGATGCGCAGTTCCTTTTGCTGGTCAGTGAGCTGCTTCGGAACCCAAGCGGCACACACCTTCCGATATCGCAACCTGTCGTGAACAATTGTCCACACGGTTCCATAGCTTACATCCACCTGTCCATTCGCAATGACACGCCGATCACTTCTCACTAGGTTGTCCACCTTGTCGAGATCGCTCATGATGACAGTGTTTGCCTGGCCTGGTCTCGGATAATCACCCACACTCTCACTCCCTGCACGAAAATGGGCACTCCATTTTCTGACAGAGTTGTCAGAGACACATTTCTCCCCGTAAACTCTTACCATCCGACGATGAATAGTTGCCGGTTTCTCACCTTCCGCTCTCAGAAATCGGATAACATCTCGCTGCTCCTCAGTCGTCGAATTTTGCAACGCGAACGCCATCCTGTCCTCATACGTACTGCCGCATCATTTGGACGCCGCTTTTGATAAGAGCTCTGCTTTCTCCTGCGCATGCGGGCGCCCGCGCATGGTCCGATCCCAGTCAGAGATTCCAATCGCATCCCAAGATGTCTCGCTACGTTCTCCCATGGCAGAATATGCAAATATTTAACTGTTACGTTTTTACGTCGTTTCGTACCTTTTCATTTGATCACCCCTTGTAGATCGTTGTGTGTATGGTGAGAACAATAGTAATGCATCCTATATTATCTGCAATGTTTAATATATCGTTTGTGGATTTTAAATTTGTATTATTGTTTTAATTGTAAATTATATTGTAGCGGTCATTTAAAATTTTTCCTTTGATATGGTGAACTTACGAACAGTTCAATGATCTTTTTATGAACAATATGAAACGAATTTGGATCCGATTAGTAACTTTTACTTTATTATTTTAGTACGTAAGGTTTGCTATCGTAATTGCAGTTGATCATATGTTTTCTACTTAAAACATTGTTATTCCAAATTTGTAGTTTTGTTTTAAATCTTATTTTTCTTGTTTTGAGCAGTTAGATTTTTTTCAGTTATTAATGCATCGAACTATGTGTATAGATAATATGCCGAGATATGCGAATTTAAAAGACAGAAAGCTGATATGAAAGCTGTGTATGATATTCATTTGACAAAAAAATATTTTTCATTTTTTCATTAATGCTTAAGTTAAAAATAATTAGAAAAAATAATGAAGCTTATCTTGTTAAAGGAATGTAACGGATTGTGACGTTATGTAGCAATAAAATGATTTGTGTAAACCACGAAATTAAAGTGTTCCCTAATATGACTTTAAATTAAAAAAATTATTTGTATAAATTCTAAAGCTAAATTTTAAAAATATTGAAACGAAACTGTATGAAATACAAGAATGAGAGACTGCGATTTTGTTTACCGCTTTAATAATTAGTGGAAATGAATTATTCTACCATGATAATTTTCTATATAAAAATTTAAAAGAATCTGAAAAGTTTTAGATTTTAATGGTCGTTCAAAAGTGTTTGTAAAGGGTTTTTACGCTCTCGCTGAGCTCGCAGTCTACCAATCTGCTATTACACTTACTTCTACTAAACCTCCTTTTTTAGTCCAAAGGGGCTTTGTCCCTGAAGGACTATTATTTTCGTTTTTCGATTTTGCGTTGGTTCACTTTTCAAACTGTTGCCACCAAATGTTAGAGTCCTGCATTATAATTGAAGAAATTAAATAATGAAAAATCTGCATAAATGTATGTATATTTCCCGCATTGTGATAAAACAACGGTAGATAGAGCCCTCGAATTTTGAATGACGTAATTCTCCTACGAATATGGGCGCGTGGAAGACCAAATTTGGAATTAATTTTATTATCGATTTCATATTATGTAAAAATTTTTCGAATTTTTGAGTAACAAACTTAACGATTTAAAAGCGAGCAATTGGGGGGGGGAATCTTTTTATCTCCAGCGCGCGGAACTGTGTATCGGAAATTCTAAAGATATACTCATTTAAAAATTATTTTGCGGCACTGCTATTGAACTGAAGTTATGGTTTAAGTGCAAAGAACACGATGTTCAATAAATAAAGGTAACACACAAAACGTTAAAAAAACGCCCCTTTGGACGTAATTTAAAATATAACTTTTCATTTTTCGGGGGGGGGTCTTTTTAGCTTTATCATTCAGCGTAATTCCTTTTGCACTTAGGCCATATAAAATGCAACAGTAAAAATTACAAAAACTGTAAAAGAAGCATAGCAATATACGTTTAGGATCCCCAATGCAACATTAAATACTAGCATACATTTTTCTGTTTTTTTTTTTTTTTTTTTTTTTTTTTTTTTTTTTTCCGATATTTTCTCAGTTCATCGTATCACTGCTCAATTTTCTTACAAAAATGGCTTTATAAAACTTTTTTTTGTCTTTTTATTATTAACGTTTTTGTGCTTACTTTATTTATTAAGTATCACATTCTTCGCGCTTATGCCGCATTAAAATTCGATTCAATAGCAAAATCAAGAAATATTCAAAAACAGCTTACCTATAAAATTTTTGATAGACAGTCTCGCGCACTGAAGATAGCAATGTTTTAGTCTGTACAGTGTTGCCACAACTCGCTTTCAAAATGTCGAGTTTGTTAAAAATTCATTAAAGTTTTAATTCGAAGCCTACTAAGACTCAGTGTAATGCCAGACTATGTGATGTTTTTCTGTAGTATCGTAGTTTATTAAATGAAGTGAAGAGGATAATCTTCCGAGGGCTCTCTTGTTGAGAAAAATGAACACTCATGTGATGAACTGGGGAAGTTATATAAAAAGCCAGAAGCTGCAGGAAAATAGATGTTTTATTTATTTATTTACTATTTTTTCATTTCTTCCTTTCTCATATAAGTTCCACGTTCTCTAAATACGAAATGTTAAAGCCATTTTTCTTGAAAATATATGTTAAACCTCATTAACAACTAATAGTATAAATTCCTCAGAACAAAAATATGTTATAAGGTCTGTAAAACGAGAGCTGTGGAGTCGGAATCGGAGTTGGGCAGATTCTGGGGTAAAAGGAGTCAGAGCTGGAGTCTCTAAAATCAGCTCGACTCCGACTCCAGTTTTTGTTGGACAGTTTGAATTTGAAATGAAATTAAAGTGAATTGAAAAACAAATTAATGGCAAACTGAGTTATTATTTTATTAATGAACTATATACATTAATAAATAGTTATTTTCTATTTTATTGAAATATTAATAAATAAATATAAAAGAGGAGCATCGAAGTGATATTTGCCATTAGTGATTAAGCTGGTTCATTTAGTTACTTCATTTAATTACAAATCTCCCTGGTAAATTTTGGTATGCAGCAATAGCAGCAAGAACTCCCAAAATTGATGCCGTTCTTAGGAAGAGAGCAGGAAAAGGAGCAATAATTGATCAAGCAACATGATGTGGAAGTACATATTTGATGATATAGAGGTTGCTTTCTCCTTTTTTCTTCTCGAAATTACTGGAAAGCTATATGAGGGTCGAATTACGCTTGCAGCTAATATAGAGATCAATTACATTTATTCAATTAGAATACATATTACGGTAAAACAGGGACCGGACCAAAATGTCGCCAAATGGTAGCCGTTTGGCGAATTTCGGCAATTTCTTGTTAAATTTGGTGACAAAATAAGTCGCTAAAACCGTTGTCATCTTGGCGAAATCTCACCAAATTATTCAGATATCCATTTACTAAATGTTAATTGCACTTGTTCCTGTATTCTAACTTTAAGGGCATAGCTTGTCTCTTTTAGATTTCTATTACATTACATTACACAGAAAAATACAATTTCACATTAATTGCACTAAAACTATCTATGTACAAAATTCGTAACAGATATATGATGTTCAACATTAAATTTCAGGGCATAATTTGTTGAAAAACTTACACTAAACACGGGGTAAATGCAAACAAGAATTCCAATCTAATGTTGGATCTATTCAGATTGTTTACGAAATAATTAAAGTGTACTTTTACTGGAATTTTTGACGAAATTACTGCTGTTACCTTTCTATCTAAATTGTTTAAATTTCATTTTTCACCTTTTGGTTTAAATCTTACTAAATTTATGAAATAAAGGGATAGTAACATAAAATTATCAAATAAAGAGCGTTCTTACTTAATGGCACAGCATGAAAACAAAATACTTGAAAGAACAAATAGCAATCCTAAAAAGAAATAGGCCGCTGGGAGGTCAAAAATTGTATTTTCACCTGGAAAGCAAAAGTAAAGAAATACGTACCTGTAAATATGTGTTTAAATCAAGTCAACATTAAATTCTAAATAAGTTTTTATTGCTTATGTCTCAATTTACTCAAAAAATAATCTCCAGTCTATCATTTCTCAACGCTAGAGTGCCATATGAGAAATTAGGTAGTGAAATGCAGCTTTCAAAACTAATTTCTAGCTGTTTCGAAGAAGTAACGAAAAAAACTAAAGTAAACGTCAGCAGATTAGTATAAAAAAAGGTAAATCTGATGCGCACACCCCATGACTTCCTTGTACGGAATATTAAATTATACGCATTTTTTGCTGCATTTCATTTAAACTTATTTCATCGAATTTAATTGGAGATATATTTCGCATTCGATTAATTTAGTTCTCACTTCCGGCAAGGTAAAAAATACATAAAGCTTCGACATATCTTCATTAAAAATTGAAAAATATAGAAAAAAAACATAAAAGCACCAAACACAGTTAAAGCAATCAAAAAGGAATTTTTACAAGTTAAAATTAGGAGTTTTACGTACTAAAGCAATTCAGCCAGCATGCTAAAGGCAGATTTTTCGTTGCACAAAAACTGAAAGTTTAACTTTGCTGGTACCACTCGGCAAAAGACATCACTGAAGGATGCAGAAACTGAATTCACTATACTGCTAAGTTTCAAATGTAAACAAATATGACTGCTATGGTAAACAAAAATTAGGCTTAACCGTAATTACTCTTAAATTGTAGATAATTCTACAACTATTGCATGCAGATTAACTAAAGGCATAAAAACTTTACCCGGAAGATAAAAATAACATAATCAATCATTTTTAAAGCAAATGCACAATTTACCAACCTATAAGAATAAAAAAAAGTTTTAAAAAACTGAGCTCACCGATATATATATATAGTAAGAAATTTAGAACTAATATGTTACAAAAACCAGAAAACATGTACATATATATACTTTTGGTGCGGCTGATTACAACCAAAAATGGAGGGGTGCAACTACATGTTATAGCAGCCCTATATACAAAAGTTCAACGTTTTGAGGCTACTCGTTTTTGTGTTATGCGATATACATACATATATACGTACGTACAGACTCCACGGAAAAAAATTCTCATCTGAATCCATTTTAAATCAGTTTTATAATTTGTTGGAGAAAATGTCCTTACGTACAGATGTCACGCAAAAATATCGTTAAATTGCATTCGATAGCGGTCATAATAGATATTTTCTTTGAAATATGATACATGGAATTTTTCCTAATTACAGTACTTCCTTTACTTCGTTCAAGGAAGTAATAAAATGAGAAAGAAATCTTTTTCTAGAAGTTTTACTGCGGTTAATTAAAATTTATTTTTTAGCATATCTGTGTTTTATTTTGATGCTTTAAATTCATATAAAATACCCTTTGTGCTCCTTATTATCATAAGAAGGTGATTACAGCATAATAACAATAAACTGTTGTGTATTTAAAATGCATCCTTCGGTACAAAATCTGTGACTGAACGAAAGTCAACATTATACATTTGAACATTGGTTAAAGAGCATTTGAACATGGTTTTAAGAAAATGACGTTCATCTTGATTTCCAAGATGAAAGTCATTTTCTTAAAACCATCAAGGTTAATTTTATTCCACTCCTCCTTCACAATCTTCCAGAGTCCATCCAATGTTTTGGGATACCTTTTATAAAGAGCGTGTTTTAAAAGTCCAAATACACAGTAATTCACAGGAGATACACCACAGGACTTGGATGGGATGCATTTAAAGGGATAAGCTTCAATTCCGGTTTCATTTCTCATTTTTTCAAAAAATAGAGCAGTACATTTTGAGCTATGGCTTGGAGCCTTATCTCAATGGAACTTAATGAAGATTTTTGGATAAAGACATGGAATTTCTTCTATAAAAACAAGTGTTCAAACATATTTCTGATAGTAATCTGAAATCATTTTGACATTTTTTTCTCCTTTCCTTATTTCAAGTTTTCCGTTATAAGAGAATCCAGTGTAATGACCATAAAACCTTTAAAAAACTTTCCTTGATTTTTCTGAACCAACATTTTAAGTCTTTTTTTCGTAGTAAATAGAACTTTTTCTATTGCAGTCAGATAAGTATATCCAAATCTTCTCAATTGTAACTATAGTATTTCCATTTTTTCACCTGCCATATAATTTTCACACAGCAATCTGCACATTGTTTTACATTGAGAAACATGTTTCGGTGTTAGGTGATGAACATCATGTTTTGTTTAATTTGATTAGTTTTAAATCAGATTTATAATTTTGTTCACAGTTCCTGCAGAGATTTTTAAAGATTTTGCAATAGCTCTTTGGGGGGGGGATTTTCCTTATATAGGAGATGGATTTTCCTTATGTATATACTAAAATACGAGATGCGACTTTAAATTTAATAAGAGCTGTTCGTACCTTTCTTGGGTATGCACTATTTGCCTTTTTCCTAGTCGGATGTAAACTTTGACGTTTCTTTCTTTTCATATTAATTCGAGGCATGAAAACGCAATTTGAATTAAGAATAAGAAGATAGAATAAGAGATATAGAACTGTCCCCTTCCCCTTTTTTTTTCGCAGTGTACATTTTCAAAAAACATTACATTTTTCATATAGCACCATGTGAACTAATGCTATTTATTTTACATTTATTTCTGTTAGCATTGATTTCGACGGAAGATCGTGTGTTTAGATGTTAGAATAGTGAATGTAATCGGTGACTCAGTAGTTGCAATTCAGAGATTGATAAGGTATTTTCTCACTCCTTTCTGCATGCATTCCTGGCGTAACGATGGCACACTCGGCGCGTATTCGAGAGATTCAGGTTCGAGTCCTGGCGAGGGCATTGCTCATTTTTCATGTGTGCAGCATCAAAATAGCCTAATGACTCTACAGCTTCACTTTTCAACCCGAAACCTACGTTGTGAAAGATAAACATTACATTTGCGTAACACAAATGACAATGTTTTCCCACATTTATTCAAATTTAAGTCATGAAGTTTGGTGTTAAATTAGTTGCGTACAAAATTCATTCAAAAATGAGAACTCTCATTTGAGTTATCCTATGTTATTTAAAATATGTTTACACATTTTATCTCACAATTTTTCTTTTTCCTTCCAGGCTTCTTTTTTCCATTTGGAATCAAATATTTATTGATTACGTTCGTGTTCCTCTTTCAAGTACTAATAAAAGTGCTTCCAAATATTACATTTCCTTTCCCATAAATCTTTAAATTACAAAAATTAGAAAATTTTTGACGACTTCTGGCAAATAAAATGAATATACCATTCATTTAATTTATTATTTTATTTATAATTATTTTCGACGTAATAAAATTTGTTTTAAAAGCAAACTTACCAGCCATTTTTCATGAACAATACATGGTTTCTAAGCTCAGTTCTTTGAAGAGAGACACGACGATAAATGCGAAAACGTTTCTTTCATTTGTAACTTTGTATCTTCTAATTTGTTATTTCATAGTCAATATGATCTGAAATTAGAAATAAACTAGTCTTTAGCCAAGAGCAGCATGAACTTCAACAGAGGTTAAAATATAACACTTTGTTGCAATACAAATTCTTAGTTGATCAATCAACATTATTATCATGCAGCCTTTTCTTAAAAAAAAAAAAAAAAAAAAAAAATTGAAATTATTTTTCTAAAACTGCCTGATGGCGTCCGTTGTACCCCTTTATCTTATTGTTGTTTCTTTATTGCAATTCATTTTGGGGTTTCTTTCTAGGTGTTATTAGCTCAAACGGGAATTAGTCCAAAAGGGCGTTAGTCTCGAAACGGCATTTTGAGTCGAATCACTAAAAGTGTTGAATCACTGTTCAAACTGTTGCCACCCAATATTATAGCCCTGCATTATATTTAAAAAATTAAGTAATGACGAATCTGCATGAATGTATATATGTTTCTTGCATTGTGAAAGCCAACAGTACCTAGAGCGATCAAATTTTGAATAACACAGTCCTCCACCCGAATATGGGCACCTGGAAGCCGCAATTTTGAATTTTGAATTTGTTTTATTATCTATTTCATATTTTGTAAAAATTTAACGAAATTTTGATTAAAAAACGCAAGTAAATAAAAAACCTGATTAAGCCAGCGCTTTGAAGCCATTAGTAACACCCGGGGACAAGTTCCGAATTTCGCAAGGCGAATGTGGGAAAAGAGTGGCAAAAATAAAAAATGTGGAAAGTTAAGCTCTTGTAGTGTTATAGCATCCAAGTTTTAAGAAATGATTTGTGTTATTGGCCTCACATCTTCTCGTAGATACGAAAAAGAATAAGCTTTCTAATGCGTCACTGGACTTGCAAAAAAAGAAAAAAAAAAAAAATGCAAAAAAAGCATTTCAATGCAAAAAAAGAAAAAATAATTATTTAACTTTTTTTATTGTGGCTTTTCGAAAGCAGTTAAAAGAACAGTCAAAAGAATTATGCTCTATTTTATGTTAAACTGGCTAGTAAATAAAATAAATAATAAATAAATAAATTTAAAAAAAATCTGAAAGGTTTTAGATTTTAAATTACGTCCAAAGGGGAGTTTTTTTTTAACGTTTTGTGTGTTACCCTTGTTTATTAAATATCATGTTCTTTGCATTTAAATCATAAAATGCAGTTCAACAGCAGTGTCGCAAAATAATTTTAAAATGAGCATATCTTTAGAATTTCCGATACACAGTTCCGCGTATTGGAGATAAAAAAAGGTTTTTTTTTTACCCGTAGAGTGTTGCCATTGCTCGCTTTCAAATCCTTAAATTTGTTACTCAAAATTCGTTAGAGTTTTACGAAATATGAAATCTATAATAAAACAAATTCTAGATTTCAAATTTCGGCTTTCAGATGCCCATAATCGCAGTAAGATTACGTCATTCAAAATTGGATGGCTCTGTACCGTTGTTTTACCACAATGCAAGAAACATACATACATTTATGCAGATTCTTCATTATTTAATTTCTTCAAATATAATGCAGGACTCTAACGTTTGGTGGCAACAGTTTGAAAAGTGATACGCCGTTTATAGTGATTCGACGCAAAATCGCAATACGAAACAATAATCCTTCAGGGACAAAGCCCCTTTGGACTAATAAAAACGTTTTTAGTCAATAAACTTTTATTTAAAACTCATAAAATGATTAACGAACTAAAATGAGAAAATAATTTATCATACAGTTTAATGAGAACAAGAGATTAAATAATTCTGTTTATACAATTCATTGGAAGCGCTGCTCTTTGTTTCGCTAAGTGTTTGAAGAATTTTTCTTCCAGGTTTGTCATCAAAGAACGTTTTAGATACGAATTAGAAAATGCGTACTGAAGCAGTAAGGCTGATTAATTATCAGGTAAAAGTACTGCAATTACGGCGCCTTAATTACCCAAAAAATAATATTTACATACGTGTTGATATATCTATGTAAGGAATTTACTCCTTCCGTGAAACTTGGCTGTATACGTTCGGCTTGCAACCGAGAGGTCCAGAATTTGACTCCTGCTGAGGGCATCGCTGAAATGTCATGTTAAGCTTAATACACTGGTGTGCAAAAATTAAGAACGAAGTCGAAAAATTAGCATATTAGCTGAACGAAGAGGCAGAGCGGACAGAAAGACCAATCAGGAGATTAAGTAAGGTGATGTACGGTAGCACATGCGCAGATATGCAGGTAGACGTAATGGGGGAGTGTCTGAGTAGTATAAAGCATGTTGTCGGTGTAAGACAGTATTTCTTGCCAAGAGATTGCACGCCGTATAGCAGTTAAAATCACACCGAGTTGCTGCCTCAGCGAGAAATGGCGAATAATCAATCTGTTAGACGACATCTGGATGCTTTTACTCGAGGTCGACTCATTGGGAAGTTGGAGAAAGGCCGCAGTGTGACAAGTGTGGCTGCAGAGTTCGGAATTGCTCACAGCATCGTTTCACGACTTTGGAGACAATTTCAAACTACAGGAACAGCTATCCGGGGGTTTAGTAGTGGTCGTCCACGAGGAACCACACCCGCAGATGACCGGTATATTGCCTTACAGGCCAGAAGAAACAGGCGGCAAACAGCGGGAGAAATCGCTAGACACACGACACAGGCGACTGGACGACCGATATCGCGTTTTACCGTGGCCAGAAGACTGCACGGTGGTGGTCTGCTTGCACGACGCCCTGTACGGTGTGTACCTCTAACGTCTGCCCATCGGAGAAGGCGTTCTCTGTGTGCCGGGAACACGGAATTGGAGAGACATGAATGGGGACGAGTACTCTTTACAGATGAGAGCAGATTCAGTCTGAGTAGCGATTCTCATCGCATACTCATCTGGAGAGAGCGGGGAAGCCGCAATCATCCCTCGAATATCATTGAAAGGGACAGGTATGGAGGTGGCGGTGTTCTCGTTTGGGGAGGCATCATGCTTGGTAGTCGTACAGACTTTCGCATCTTCGACGCAGGTTCAGTCAACGGGACCCGTTATTGTAACGAGATTCTTCTTCCATATGTGCGTCTTTTTAGAGGCGCTATGGGTCCGCAGTTCCTTTTCATGGACGACAATGCACCATGTCATCGCACAGTAGCTGCCGAACAGCTCTTAGAGAGTGAGGATATGGAACGTATGGATTGGCCGGCACGATCTCCGGATCTCAATCCCATCGAGCATGTATGGGATTTTCTTAGGCAGACGCTTGGCAGCTCGTACCTTACCACCAGTAATGATTCCGGAGCTTCGATTGGCGCTGCAAGACGAATGGGCAGCAATGCCTCAACAACTCATTGACACCCTCATTCTCAGCATGGGCAGACGCTGTGAAACCTGCCTAGCAGTCAGGGGAGATCATATCCCCTATTAAAGACCGGATGTTTCTTGCTGGACAACCATCACAGGGATGTTTCGGCCTTCAGTCGCATTGCGCTCCATGCTACTTTTTCAATAAAGCTTCTTTTTATCCCTCTGATTTCTCTTTTAGTAAGTGTTGCATACATTACTCATGTCCTTACGTATTGGGGATCTTACGGTATTAAATGTGTTGATTTGGAAAGCTTTTGTACAAAGTTATATTGAAAAAACCGTCTCGTCCTTAATTTTTGCACACCAGTGTATTTCTACATGTGCATTTGATTGCATATGTATGTGTTAATATTTGTACCTGTATATAATACATATGCGCAAGTAAAAAATTTTATTTCAGTATTAGATTCTTTGATTTGATTTGAATTTGGAAACTCTTCCTTTTTAAGTTGTATTTATTTTTTTTTTCATATATTAAACTCTATTTTATTTAAGCGGAAACTTAATTCGTCAACATTAATTAAAGGTCTCTTTCGAAAAACTTTTAATTATTTTAATATTATTAACTGCAATATACTTCCTTCTTATCCACTGGACTTTAAGGAATATTTGTGAAAAAATATTGGTGATATAGTCCAGGCGAACTCTTCCTTTCGTCAAAAAGGAATCATAATTTGTAGTCTATGAAATGCTTGCTAAAATTGAAATTCTTTTATGATTTATATTTCATTATTAAAAGTTATGGAGATGTTAACAATTAGGGATAAATTGGCACTATTAACAACTACTCTATAATAATAATAATCGAAAGACCTCCAAAATTTGGTAAATTTAGAAATTCCCAAAATTTTTCATTTGAATATTATTTTCCGATCTGTCTATAAAGATGAAAATTCTGCGTTGAGTTTGACAATTACACAAGAATATGTGAGAAAAATTCAACACTAAATTAAAAACAAATCTATTCCGAATTTTGAAACATTTCTATGGAATATTGCATAGTCATTTGCGTGGTTTTCCCTTTTATGTAATCTGAATACGATCTAATTTCTCTTAGAAAGTCATCCACGAAAGCATGCCTTTCCTTGAACGAGTAGTCCTTGCGTGTTTCGCCATAATATAAATAATCCAATCTAAGAAATTAATAGAAATCAACAGAAGTTGGTGTAACGTGAGTAAATTTACCGGACTAGAATTTCAAAGGTTTAATACAGGGTTTCTTAAACGTTTTTCAGTCACAACCCCTTTTTATCACTGAGATTTTTTCGCGACCTCCAAGCCCCCATAATATTTAAAAAAATTTTGTGGGAGCCCTTAAGTATTGCGCAAATCCGACACACGCGGGAGTGAAACTGTCAATTCTTTCACGTGTACTGTAATATACCATGGCAGTTTCAGGTCATTAACTTTAATTTCTAATTTTAAGATATAGAACAATCTGAAAATTTTAAATAAGCAACAGACGAAATGACAGCGTCACATGCAAAGCGAGGAAAATGAACATTTATATTATAAAAAGAATGTATCGAAATATTTTCGTTTTTTTCTTTGTCTGTATTGTCTTATCTTTATCTATTTTCAGATACATTGCTTAAAAATACTTGGTAATTGTAAAAAAAAAAAAAAAAAAAAAAAAAAAAAAAAAACTGAAAAGTTTCAGATTTAAATACGTTCAAAGGGCTTTTTTAACTTTTTACTTCCTTGTACGAAGTTAAAA